GCAGATAAGTATTGTGGTGAGTTATCCGTGCGAGTGTTACTGTTATTGGCACGCGAGTTGTCCGTGCAGTGCGTGGATTTGGATCTGTCTCTCCGAAGTTATGTGATCGCCTATTGTACCTTGGGTCATGTGTGCACAGGTTTGTTTGACACTTGGGGAGTGTTGATTTTTGGAGTGAGTCTCATTCATGCATGGATATTATAGACTCTTACACTTGGCATTTATAATAATGCTCTATGATGCATATCACTTTATATGCTGATTCAATGAACCAAAAAGTGAGTTTTTATCATTTCTTATATGAAAGCGTGATATTATTACTGTTAATTATACCAGATCATCTTATACTCTATTTATGTTAGATTCTTGCGTTGTATTTATTCATGGACTATTCAAGTTATGATAGCTAGTATTAGTTGACTAATATGGCTACTACTTTGTCAAGGTTAGTTATTACTAAGTACATTGGATCAGTTGTACTCATACTACTGTACATTTTTTTGCAGATCCAGATGTTGGCACTAGTACAGCTAAAGAGTAGATCATTGTGGTACTAGTAGACTCGATCTACATCAGAGAGATTATTAGCTTGCATGGTGTGCCTATTTCTATAATTCCAAACCGAGGTACTCAGTTTACTTTGCACTTTTGGAGAGAAGTTTAACATGAGTTGGGTACACATGTGGAGCTTAGCACAGTATTTCACCCACAGACAGATGGCCAGTCTAAGCATACTATTAAGATTCTAGAGGACATGTTGAGAGCTTGTGCTATTAATTTCGGAGGCTTGAGATCGTTTCTACCATTGGTGGAGTTTGCATACAACAACAGTCCAGCATTCAAATGGCTCCATATGAGACCTTGTTCGGTAGGCATTGTCGATCTCCTATTGGTTGGTTTGAGCTTGGTGGGGCTAAATTGTTGGGTATAGATTTGGTTCGTGATGCATTGAATAAGGTGAAGTTGATTTAGGAGTAACTTCGTACAACTCAGTCTAGACAAAAGAGTAATGCGGACAAGAAGGTTCGCGATGTGGCATTTATGGAGGGTAAGAAGGTATTTCTAAAGATTTAATCCGTGAAGAGAGTGATGAGATTTGAGAGGAAAGACATGTTGAGTCCAAGGTTTTATTGGTTTATTTAAGGTGTGATAGAGAGCTAGAGATATTTCTCATAGGCTTGCTTTGCCTCCTAGTCTTTAAGGAGTTCATCTGATGTTTCATATTTCTCTGCTCCGGAAGTATCATGCAAACAAGTCGCATGTTTTGGACTTCAATAGGGTGCAGTTAGATGAGAATTTGACTTATGAAGAAGAGCGTGTGGCCAATTTGAATAGGCAGGTTCGAAAGTTGAGGTCAAATGAGATCGCGTCGATGAAGGTGCTTTAGAGAGGCCAACCGAGCGAGGAAGCTACTTGGGATACCAAGTCAGATATGCAGAGCAAATATCCATATCTTTTCAGCAGTTCACGTATGTTTTTAAAGACGTTCGAGGACAAATATATGTTTAAGAGATGGAGAATATAACAACCCGACGGATCGTTTGAGTATTAGAATCACAACCCCTTATTTGACGCTTTTTGTATGTGTATTTGATATTTTATGACTTGTGGGAATGGTTAGTTTAGTTTTGAGGAGGTTCGAGAGTGAATTGAAACACTTGCTTTTATTTTGGAAGCCTTAGTCTTTTTTAGATATGACCACGGTTTGACTTTTAGGTAAACGACCTCGGAATTAGATTTTGATGGTTCCAATAGGTTTGTATGGCGATTTTGTAGTTGGACGTATGTTCAAATTTAGTTTTGGCTGTTCATAGAAGATTTTGGCTCTATTTGCATAAAATTGGCAATTTGAAGAATTTGAGATTTCATAAGTTTGACCAATAGTTGACTTTGAGGTTATCGAATTTCGATAGATGTTCCAGGACTGAAGATAGTTTTATATTGTTAAACTGGACTTGGGTGAAATATTTGGTTGAGATCTAAGGTGTGTAGGCATGAATATGATGCTTGGTTGGAAGTTTAAAAGTTTATGAACTTAAGAGAGTTCAACATATGGTTTGACCTTTGATTCTTAGATGTGTAATTCCGTATGTATTTTGAGATCTTGGATAGGTACGGGTAGTATTTATTGACTTGTTGAGATGTTTGGACATGGTTGGACCACCCTGAGCATGTTTGGTGGTGCTAGATTTTCTGGTGTTTGGTATTCATCGCGTTCGCGATGCAGGATTTCGACCAGGGGCTGTTACAATTCGTGTTTGTGAAGGGGGTGTCGCATTCGCAAAGGGTGGAGGCAGATGGGTATCATGTTCGCGAGGCGCTTAATCGCGTTCGCGTAGAGGAGCCAAGTGAAGTTTCACGATCGCGAGGGTCTGTCTGCCATCGCAAAAAAAAAAAAAAAAAAATTCCTCGCGGTGGAATATTGTGCTTCACGAACACGAAGCTGAGGCTGCATTCGTGAAGGGTAGTTCTAGCAGGGGTTTTTAAAGTTTAAATTTCGAGATTTTGCCTATTTTTTTACATTTTTGAGTTTTGGAGAATAAAAGGAGGAGACTTTGAAGAGAGATTTCACTACTATCTTGGATGGAAGTATCTACACTTGGATTAGAACATATATCTATATTGCCCATGGATTTTTACACCTAAAATATGAAATTTTAAGGTAAACTTTGTGATTTTATCTGTAACTTAAGAGAGTGTAAATTAAGATTTTGAGCATTGGGTTGGACTTGGATTTGAAAACTAAAGACATATTTGGACCTATGGGATTATGGGTAAACATGATCTACCCTTAGACTCAGGTTTTGACCATATGGGCCTAGGTTGACTTTTGTTGACTTTTTGAGAGTTGATTAAAGATTGAAACTTTATTGTTTGGAATTGATATCTATGGGTTTATTTAACTTATTTGAGTGTTGTTTGATTAGATTTAAGCCGATTGCAGGTGATATCTAAATAAAAGGCACTTTTGGAAGATTGATTGGGTTTATATAAGATAAATATCTTGTCTAAACTTGGCTTAAGGAAATCTATCTTAGGAGATTGACTTTATTTGACTAATTGCTATGTATTGGGGGCACTGTATATGCATGGTGGCGAGCGTATATGCAAGTTTCATGAACTATTCTTGTTCGGGGTAGTTTTTAGGCTACTTTGTGCTTTGATTTACATCGTGTGCCATTTATGACTTGTTATTCTTGTGTGGCTACGTGAGCTCTCTCAATCATGCTAGAACCCATATTTTAGGGTTTTCATATCTTGTTAACCGTAAATGGCTATCTGTGACATTGTATTCTACTTGTTCTAGTCGTAGTCCCACTGTTCACATGCATATATCTTTGGATATATATATCTTATATCCATATACATCAGTCATGTTGATTATGACGTGTATGAACATATTCCGCATATAGAAACTCCTTATGGACTGAGGTTCAGGCAAATGAGTTGTCCGTGGGAGATGAGTATTGTGGCACATGGGTTGTCCATGCGAGTGTTATGTTATTAGCACGTGAGTTCTTCGTGCAGTGCATGGATTTGGATCCGTTCATCTGGAGTCAGGTGATCATCCATTGTACCTTGGGCCTTGTATGCGCATTGTTAGGCACTTGGGGAGTGTCGGTTGTTGGAGCGAGTCTTATTCATGCATACATATTATAGACTCTTATACTTGGCATTTATAATAATGCTCTGTGATGCATATCATCTTTATATGCTGATTCGATGAATCATGTGAGTTCTGATCATTTCTTATCTAAAAGCACAATATCATTTCTGTTAATTGTACTAGATCATCTTATACTGTATTTCTGTTAGATTTTTGTGTTGTATTTATTCATGGATTGTTCAAGTTATGATAGTAAGTATCTGTTGATCAATCTCGCCACTACTTAGCCAAAGTTAGTCTAGATACTTACTGAATACATTGGGTTAGTTGTACTCATACAATACTTTTGTATATTTTTATGCAGATCCAGGTATTGGCACTAGCAGAGCTGAGGAGTAGATCATTGTGGTGCTAGGAGACTCGAGGTAGTGCAACTTGTCCATCCCAAAGACCTTGAAGTTACATTTTTTTTCTATTTTGAGACTGTTGTTTATTTCAGACATTGTTGTATGGAGTTCACACTATTGTATTTTGACACTCTTGGAGCTCATGTACTTGTTTATACTAGTTTCTGGGGATTGTATTACTATTTTCTGCGTATTGGTGCTGATTCTAGACTTATTTATGTTATAAATCTCTAGTGGACTTGATATATTGCTTCAATACTGTTGTTTATTTGGTTGTTGTATGATTGGTTCACCTAGCCGATATGTTATGTGTCATCGCGACTATTGATGGGATTTTGGGTCGTGCCAACGTCCTACCGAAGTATCTATGTTATAACTTTACAAAACTATTACAAAGTATAATTAGTAAACAAAACTTTGTCCTATAGCTATAGAATATTTTAAAGTTAAGGAAAAATATCCAAATTTACCCCTCTACTTTCAAATATCGTCTAAATCTAACCTCCGTTATATTATTCGGCCAAACTTACCCCTACCGTTATACTATCCGGTCAAATTTACCCCTACCGTCAGCAAACTTTAAAAATTACCTCTCATCCGTTGGGTGACCGAAAATTTCCCAAATTTTTTCAGTTAAGTCGGTTATTCTTCTTCTTGATTCATTATTTCGAAATAGTAGGCATTTACCTGCTTTCTTAATTGAAAAAACAAGAGAAAGAAATATTAAAATAACGCAATGGTTAGTAAACAAAGTATAGTAAATTGAATAATCTAAATTAGTAGCTTGTCGAAATTCCAAAAGTACTTACAACAACCCAACTTTAAATAAATTCATTGCACAAAAGGTATAGAGACTTTGCAAGTATTAGTGATAGAAGATGAAGTTCTTTGGAGACTTTACATTATTGAATTCAACTTTGCTTTAATCAAATGCCGCATTGTGCACTCTTAAGTTACTCAGATTGAACTCTATACTAACCAGACAACAACAAAATATATTCCAATATACATATATGTACAAGATGATCACCTGCATATAACATACAATAAATAGACCCACCGAATTGTACTGTGGGTATATGGTTGAAAAATAAATCAAATTTTAAACCAATTCCAAACTCATTATCACAAAAAAAAAAAAAAAAAAAAAAAAAAAAAAAATAGGGTGCAATGGCGGAACAATCAGGTATGAAGAACGATTCCCCAAATGAGGAGAAACCCTACCAGCGGAATCATAGCTCACAAATGGGTAAACCACTCACTTATTCCTCTTGCTATGCGTGGTGACACTTTTGTCGTTCAAATTAATGAGGGGGACATTAGAGAACAAGTGGAGATCATCTCTGATCGGGTATGTATTAGGTGATACTCTATATGTAAAATCTATGGAGAATTATGTGGAAAATTTTTGGAATTTCATCAATAAACCCAAAATCCTATACCATGATGATGACTGTTACATATTCAAATTTGATTTTATATCTGACAGGAATCGTGTTATGCAGTCTGGTCCTTATACGTATCATAACAAACCGTTTATATTAAAGAATTAGACTGTTGACTTTGTTTTTTATCCTGATTGCTTGATTGTTATTCCGCTACGGGTGAAATTCCCTAGTCTTCTTGTTGGCTACCGGTCCACTGAAGCACCGAGTAAATTGGCCAGTGTAATTGGCAAACCTCTGTACACTGATTTATTTACAACTGAGATGGATTGCATTTCCTATGCTAGAGTGTTAGTAGAAATAGATATAGCCCACCCCTCTCTAGCTGTATGGAATTTCATACCCCATCTGGTGTTATTCATCATGATATAGGCTATGAATGGAGGCCTAAGTATTGTGTTGATTGTGCTAAATTTGGCCATACTCCTGACGAATGCTGGCAGAAAAAAGCACAGGAGGAAAAAGAACTTGTAGAATAGCCTAAGAAGAAGAGGAGAGCCAGGAGGAGGAGAAAGGTTGTTTCAAAATGGGTGGCCAAAGGGCAGACTAAAATTGTAACTGATCAAGATGCTCCTCAAAAATAGGATGCTGCTGAAAAAATACAGGTTACTGCTCTTCCCCTAGCAGAGGAAGACTTTCCTTTTCTAGCAGTACCCCCAAAGAGTCCAGGCCAGCAAAATCATGGAAAAAGGTTTGCTGATGGTGAGCTAACTGTTCAATTTTCAAATGCTAACCAAGCTAGTTCCTCTACAAACCAATGGAGAGCCACCAACAGATTTGAAATACTGACTCAAAGTCAGACTTCACCAAAATTGGGCTAGAGTGGCACAAACCAGTTCCAACCCCCATGATTATCTGCACATGGAACATTAGCGGGCTTAATAGGCCCTTTAAATAGAAAGAGATGCCTCTCTTTCTGAAGAAGTATAAAATATAAGTTATGGGGATAATTGAAACAAGAGTGAAAGAGAATCAATCTAAAATGATCACACACAGAAAGTAGCAAAAGGATTGGAAGGCTTGTTATAATTATGATCATGCTTATAATGGTCGGGTTTGGCTACCGTGGAAAGCACATATACAAGTCCAGATCTTGGAGGTTGGTGATCAATTCATCCATTGTATGGTACATAACACTACTATTCAGCTCAGTTTACTGCTCACTGTGATTTATGCTAGCAATGAACTGGTGCATAAACAACAACTATGGGATAAACTTACTCACATTGGCTCTCAAGTGACAACTGAGTGGCTTGTGTGTGGTGAATTCAAAAATGTACTGAATTCAGAGGATAGAATTGGTGCGCCAATTACTCAAGCAGAAACTCAAGGATTCAAGGATCTACTTGATAACCTACAGTAAACTCCTTTCAAAAGCACTGGATGGCACTTTACTTGGTGCAACAAAAGAGATGATAGCTCAAAGTATACAGTAAGATTGATTAGGCCTTGGCCGATTATAAGTGGCTATTGAAATTTAGTCGTGTTGAGGCTGATTTGCTTAATCTGGGAGTGTCAGATCATTCTCCAATATTGCTCAAGTGTGACTCCGATGACCAACGTAGGCACTTATATCCCAGACCTTTCAAATTATATAACAATGTTCCACATCATCCAAAGTTTGAAGGGATTGTGAAGAGGGTATAGAGACGACGAGGGATGGCCATGTCAAGAACTTGGGTGAAACTTAAAAGATTAAAGGAAGCCTTGAGGGATCTGAACACCTATATGACTTCATACCAACAAAAATCGACTCAATCCAAACAATAGTTAGAGATAATACAATCTAGTATATCATTGCAACCACTCTTTCAGTCTCTTATTGATTAGGAAAAGGAAGAATTAATAGAGGTTGATAAGTGGAGCATGTGGAGGAGCAGGTTCCAAGGCAAAAGTATAGAGCTAATTGGATACAATGTGGGGATTCATACACTAAATACTTCCATGCTCAGTGGAAGTTGTGCACAAGTACTAACTCTATCAATTTTATATATACTGATGCTGGAATTAAGATCACTGATTCTATGCAGGTGGAAAATCAGTTCATATCATTCTTCACCAAGCTTATTGGGAGCGGCAACCAATATACTACCTTGTCCAAATGATGAGGTAATAAAGCAGGGTATTTTTCTATCTAGAATCCAACAACTTGACTTAATCAGAGATGTCACAGCTGAAGTCATGGTAGCTATCAAGAGTATGTATACTGATAAGGCACTAGGGGTGGATGGCTTTCCAATTGAGTTCTTTACACAACACTGGGATGAGGTGAAAGATGATGTACTTGCAGATGTGCTAGATTTTTTCAGAACTGGAAAGATGAACAGGGCCATAAACTGTACAACAATAACTCTTATTCCAAAAGTGCCTTCTCCAACACAGGTGAAGGACTATGGGCCTATAGCATGTTGTACCACCCTATGTAAAAGGATCACTAAAGTGTTGTCTGGCAGAATTAAGACTATTATCAGTGACTTGGTTGGAGGATCTCAGTCTGCTTTCATTGAGGTTAGAAGTATCACTGACAGTATTCTCTTCACTCATGAACTGTTCAAGGGTTACACAAGGAAAGGTATTTCAGCAAGGTGTATGCTCAAGGTGATATTAGGAAGGCTTATGACACTCTAGACTGGTACTTCTTGAAAAGACTGTTGATTGAACTTGGTTCCCCACATAAGTTTGTATTGTGGATCATGGAATGCATATCAACTATCACATACTCCTTGACCCTAAATGGTGGACTTACAAAACCTTTCAGAGGACAAAGAGGAATCAGGCAGGGGGATCCAATATCCCCCTACCTGTTTGTCCTAGCCATAGAATATTTGCAGAGGGAGTTTGCACAACTGGCAGTGAACAAGAATTTCCACTTTCATCCCAGATGTAAAAACTGGGCGTGATCTATGTGTGCTTTGCTGATGACCTTTTGATGTTTTGCAAGGCTGATCTCCCTTTTATTAGACTGCTTCAACAAGCTTTTATGAAGTTTTCAATGGCTTCAAGCTTGCAGGCAAATACAGAAAAGAGTTCTATATATCTATCTGCCATTTCTGCTTCTTTGAAACAGGATATTCTAGAGGAGTTGGGGTTTACTGAGGGTACTATACCCTTCAGGTACCTTGGAGTACTTTTGGCTTCTAGAAAGTTATCCATCTTACAATGCTGGCCACTAGTGGAGAAATTACTGCAAGGATAAACTGTGGGACATAAAAACTGCTATCTTATTTAGGAAGGTTGCAACTCATCAAATCTGTTATCTTTGGAGTACAATCCTACTGGGCTCAACTATTCCTACTACCAAAGAAGGTTCTAAAAATGATTGAAGCTATTTGTATATCATTCCTTTGGAAAGGTACATCCAGTATTTCTAAGAAAGCATTGGTCTCATGTGAGAAAATTTGTATGCCTCAAGCTGCTGGGGGGCTAAATGTATTGAATCTCTATCACTGGAACAAAGTAGATGTGGCTAAACATCTATGGGATATAACCATGAAGAAATAATGTCTTTGGATTCGTCGGGTTCGCTCTTATTACATGAAAAATCAGATTGTAGATTCTGTGTCAATACCCAAGAATGCAGCCTGGTTTGTGAGGAAGATATTAGGACTTAGAAGTCTTATTACAGAACTTCAGAATGTGCAAGCTGACTTGCCCTCTAGATTGGCTCAACTGCTGACTCCTGGTGGAAGCTTTAGCATAAAGAAATTGTACTAGCTTCTTCATCCCCAATTCCAGAGGGTCCCTCGGAAGAGTTTGATTTTACAACTACAATTGCACCTCAGATTCAAGTTCAATTTATGGCTTGTTGCTAATGGTAGACTACCTACTGTGGATAGGTTGCAGAAAATTGGAATTCAAGTTGCTTAAACTGTGTTCTTGTTTAACTAATGAACTGTTTGAGCATTTTTTTCTTTGATTCCTCTTATACTAAGAGTATTTGGTCTAGGCTTCTGTCATGGCTTGGACATTCTAGGAAAATCACTACTTTGTAGGAGGTGCAATGGGTGACCATGTGTGCCCAAATGAAAAATGGACATTGGACAGTTGTTTCATGTGTCTTTGGTATGATGATCTATCTGATTTGGAGGGACAGAAACAAGCTTAGGTTTCAAGGTGGGAGCACCTCACAAGACAGACTTTGTCGAGAGATTGCAGTCCATATACACAACAGAGGAAGATTATTTCCCATCTGGCAGAGACATCTTGCATCGTTGATCTTTTTTCCATAGCATAGTTAAATTCTGATGTATTTTATTCCATGTTTGATCCTAGTTAGTTGTGATGTGTATACGTTATTGTCATACATAGTATAGGAGTTGATCCGCAACTTCCTGGTTTATAAAGAACAACTTTTGTTGAATAGAAGAACTGTTTATCAAAATATATATATATATATATATATATATATATATAGTCTAGTACCTCCAGCATTTACATCAATAATAATTTCTGAAAATAGTAGAGCAAGAAGAACAACAAGTAGTTTAAATAAGAGAAAATTAGGAGATTTTGGATTACCTAACAGATCAAGGGGTAACTTTTAAAAGTTTGCTGATGGTAGGGGTAAATTTTGGTGAATAGTACAACGGTAAGGATAAATTTGACCGGATAATATAACAGATGTTAAATATATGAAAAAGGGTCAAATATACCCATGTACTGTCAGAAAAGGTTTAAATGTAGCCCTTGTTATACTTTAAGTCCATATATATACCCCTATCGTTATACTATTGGTTCAAATTACCCATTTTTCGTTAAGTTTGTCCAAAGTGGATATCCAATCTTCGTGGCAATGACATTTGATGAGGTGGATGCCACATGGCTTGCCACCTCACCGCCCCTAACCCATTTTATCCCCTCCCCCTTTATTTGTTTTTCCACCACTAAAGTTTCCTTCCCCTCCACCACTATTGCTACCATTACCAGTACCATAAAAAATATTGTGTTTTAAATTTTAGTCTTTTATATATGGACTAGGGGCGCTGATATGGCATGCTATGTGGAATCCACCTCATCAAATATCAGTGCCACGTAGGATTGGATGTCCACATTGGATAAACGTAACAGAAGAAGAGTAGTTTAAACCAATAGTATTAAGGCAGTGGTATATTTGGATCCAAAGTATAAGAATGATATATTTAAATCTTTTCTCATAGTACATGGGTATATTTGGCCCTTTGCCGTTAAATATAACAATATCCAAAAGTAAAGGAGTATATTTGGCCCTTTTCCCTAAAATTAAAAGGTTATAATTACAATTTAAGAAAACATAAGGACTACAGAAGCAATTTACAATCTGCATGGGGGACCATAGATTTGACATAAATTTATTCCAATAGATGTTTGCCACTTGACCACTTAACAAACATTAAAGCAGATGAGTCATAGGAGAAAGTGCCAGTCAAGTGGTCCTATACAATTCAGATTTTTTCACATGATAAACTGCACTTATCTCTTTTGTCACCTTTTGCTGCTTACCCTACCGAATCTTTGGAATCCAATTGCTCACTCTTGCATCATTGGTTGTGATACGTATCTTTTCCCCTCTTTTTTTTTAAAGTTTAAATATAATATATTGAAAATATTGGAGCCTAGCTCGTTGATTCCTCTTTTTTCAACTTTCCAAATTTGTTTATGTTTTCATATAATAGGAATTAATCTAATTAAACGGTAGAGTTGCGAACTAGAATTGTGACTGCTTAATCATGAATTGTGTTGGTTCTCTTTTGTTTCATTTTAATTGATTCTCTTGTCAGTTCAAAATCAAATTGGTTCAGTTTTTTTCTTCTTCTAGAGAAGTGAACTCGTGAATTTTGGGGTGGGTGTTGTTAGGTGCATGATTGAGGTTAGAATAGTAGATTGCAACTGTATCAAATTAGTTTTAGTTCTTTAAGAAAACAATAGGGAATGTTTTGTTTTATATTAGTCTTCTTGATTTCGCTAGTGATTTAATTAAGATTAATTAACAATAATTATTCGTTGGTTTCTTTCGTTTTCTTTTTCTAATAGTATCTAACTAGTACTAGATGATTCCTTCTGAAACCAACTAATCTGAAAATTTTCGCGCCATCCAATAGTTTTTTTTTTTTTTTTTTGTTTAGACAATAAGAAATTGTCTGTTCGGACTCTCAAGGGGCACTCATAATTTTCTTAATATGGCAACTCCACCAATTTCTAAAAGGCAAATTAACATAATGAAATACGTTTTTATTCTTTTAGGGTTCGTTTGGTTTGAACACGGCTTATGCCAGGATAAGTTATTTTAAGAAAAGTTATGTTGGGATTAGTTATCCTGGTATTATTTTCTATTCACTGTTTGGTATGTTGTATTAAAAATGACAATTGCATAATTTCTAAGAAGAAGGTATAAGCTATCCCGGTACTAATTACCCCACCCTCTACAAGGTATAAGTTATTCCGGTACTAATTTTAATCTCGGGATAAATTATACCAGGTTTGCTAACCAAACAAAGTATTAAGGTGATATTAAGTTTTTATACCGACACTATACCTTCTTATACCTCATACCTAACGACCCCTTAATATATTCTAAACTTTCTAACATATATATCTACTAAACACAATTACAAGCATTCGCTCAAATCATTTTCTCGTAAACTCAAAAAGAGTTATTCATAAACCGGATAGAGAGAATAAAGTGGGAAGAGTCCTCTGTTCATTTCAAATTATTTCACGGGGAGTAAATCTTGTCCTAAAGAACTCGAGGAGTGTACCATAGATTTTGTTTTAAAAGCTTGAAATAATATTGAGATTATTTCAAATAGGTGGTTGCTATCAAATTGCCCACTATTTCAGTTTCAAACTTGAAATATGAAATTTGAAAAATAGATTTAGAGAGGTTTTTCAAGATTTTACTCACAAAATTTTAATTATTTTTTCATATCCAATTACACTTTCAATTTCCAAACATGCTTTTCCAACACCAACTTCAAATATTATATTTTTGTTATGAAATATTATTTTGTAGTGGATGTTTATAACTCCTAAAAAAGTTACTCCCACTACTCTTCTTCATTATGTAGATAATTCCCACTACTTCTTACTATTATAGTTGTAACTCCCACACCTCCATAACCTCCCCATGATCTTTCCCCATGATCTCAATAGTTAATACCATGTTTATGATATGCCTTTGTATACCTCAATGTCATCCTATAAATAGAGGGCTTTGACATCACATTGTATACACTTGAATACATGGAAGAAATAGATTCTCTCCTCCCTTTCTCTCTACATTGTTGTCTATCTTCTTGTTTTATATTATTACTTTGAGCTAAGTTTCGTAACACGTTATCAGCACGAAGCTTTAATCAACCTAGAAGATATGAATGATTGACAACCTTGAACCAATTTGGTTGAACCAATGGAAATATGGGCATTATTACGTATGCCATATTAATGTTTAGTTTGCCTCTATTGTCTAGGGAGTATTATTTTTCAAATTATACCATAAATTGTGTATTTAGCTTATGTTAAAATTTAAGATTTGTAGTTGCTTTGTAAGCTTTGATTTTAAGTTTTCATGCTCGTATGGCTGTATATGTCCACTACCTTTGTTCCTAGTTCTAAAATTGATCTTATACAATTATAACATCATGCTATCATTGATTTTCTATGATATTAAAAGATCTTTGTGAAACATTAAAAAGCGTTCTGGTCATGTTATGTATTAACGAGGACTTTTAAGATCGATGGCCTAATCTAATTAGATGCAACATTTTTATGCTGATAATTGACAAAGTGATATCATTATGTTTTACTAGCCTATTTTGACATCATCTGTATTAAAACAGAATATGCTAGCAATAGTTATTACTTAAGATTATTTGTTTTTCTAAGTTAAGTATATTTAGTTATGTGTTTCAATTCTTGTGTGTATTTTATTTAATCATCATGTATTAGTTTACAGTAATGCATCACATAGTAATAACGCTACATGGTGACTCTCTTATTGACATGTTTATACATAGGATACTAGTAAACGAGTTTGTACTCTATCATATTTTTATTGATAATAGTTCTTATCATTTCTATTTTGCTTATTTTTATGATAGATTTTACTATGTGGCTAGATAAAATTATATTCCATTCCTGATGTGAATCAGACCATTTGTGATAAACATTATATAAGGATAAGACGGTNAGGTTAGATGTTATATGAGAATCAGAAGCATATAATGATGCAGCTAAATGTTACATACTAAACCAGAGACCAAAGATGTACATAAATTAAAGAGCTACGCCAGCTTTTGCAAAGTGATTTGAAGAACTTTGATTCCTTTGTTACCAGTAAATAGATACTTATTGTGTAACACATATATGAGTTTACTTTTATTACTATTAAAAGTAGTATACCATGAAAGTCTCAAGGGTGAGTCTACTTTGGCATATTATGCCATTAATTAAGGATAAGACGGTGGGTTCAAGTCCCAACGCACCATGAGGGTAAGACATCGGGTTTTGAGTCCTGATGATCCATGATTGTAAAAGTTGGGTTCGAGTCCCAACTCATTATGGCCTAACATGTCTTTATATGGGTCAGGCATTGGGTTTGAGTTCCAATGCACCATATGGATGATATAATGATGACTAATGAAAAATAATGTATTTTTCATGAAAAAGCATGAAGCTTGTCCCACTTGGTTTGCTCCATTCTTGAAGTGAATATGATAGCGATGCATAATATATCTAAATAAAGACAAGTGGTTGACTAATGAACGTGGGCGTGCCAAAGACCAAAATAATAATAGTCATCATTATGATAATTATAAAAAGGAGAACAATAAGGGTTCTCAAAATAATCCTTCAAAGGTGAAGGAAATGTGCATCAATTTGGTGTGTAAAATAAGGCACGTTCAGATGATTATAGTCCATTTTTTTTTAAGAATGCGACTTGTGATAAGCATTGTAAATGCAGACTCATTCCTAAAGTGAGTGTAAAAATATATATATGATACAAATTATCCACAAGAATGTATTTATGCATGGTTGAATAAATACTACAACTCACCTCTACGGGAGGTTTGAGAGAAAGAAAGATCATGAACATTACTATGTGATTACATAAATATGTCATTGGTCGCGTACATGTGGTACGCCAAAAAATAATTTGACATGCCTTATAAAAAGTTATTAAGGGCAAAAGTAAAGCAAGAAATGATTTTGCTTATGATGATTTTGACCATGACAATTATTATGATATGATTTTCTCCGTGAAGGAGACATTCACCGTATGGATAGTGTGACAAAAGATCTTGTAGTACAAAATTAATTAAGAGCTCCGGAAGAGCTAATTTGTTATTACCCGGATGAATAAAATTGTTCATGACATTGATATTG